TTTATGTTATACAAGTGTATGCAATTAGTAGGAAAATTCCCGCGAGAATGTCTGATTTAGATTACTTAGTTTTTAAGTTTTGCCTATGAAAGACCCATATATAACATTCTCTCTCTTATTGGGAGTCAGGATTGCGCCTCATCATTTATTACTTCCAACGGTTGGTCAGTTGTCTCTCTCAAAGTTGTATCAGTAGATATTTTCTTAATACGAACACAAAGTTTCGAAGTTCAACGAAGCCACAGGCAGTTTTAAGGTCCACAATACTGAATACAATGTCGATGCTAACTGTAAGCTCTCTAAAAAATAATCTTGTATTGAATATTTTTAACACCGAGCAGATGTCGTAAAGAATAAATATAAGGCATAGAACATTTCCTTAGTGGCTCCACCTTTGAAATTAATGTAATTTTTTTGCAGTTCGACATAACCTTCATAACACAATTATGAATAAGTAAAATACTATTTTTGGTTGGAAACTACAGTTGATACGAAAGTGTGGTTTGATTAGTTTAATACTTGTACGGGTTATATGAAAGCCGAAGCAACCTTTTGTAAATGGTTTAGTAAATATCGCACAGGCAATATGAGTATCGAAGACGATGAACCGCCTGGATGTACAAAAGGCGCTATTTCGGAAAAAAATTTCAAATATCCACAAAATGAATCTGGATGATCGTAAAATGTGGTTGATAAGACAGCTGACACTCTATAGATATTGAAGGAATGTGTTGGGGAAAGGTTTGAAAATTTGTGTTTGCGAAAGTTCTATGCAAAATGAGTGTCTGATGAGGTTACAATTGGAGCATGCGGCATATCTTAAATCAATGAAAACAATGGCAAAATTTCTAACTCAGCCATAGTATTCTTCATAACTGGTCCAAGCTACGTTTTCCTGTCCTTAGAATTTCCGAAATCTACCAGAGACGTCCTCTAGAAAAAGTCCGCACAAGATTAATAATAAGGTTAATCGCCACGGTTGAATAGTAAAATGGTTTTTTCCCAACATCAGATATTCTGTAACTTTTCCTTTTTGTGTTACATCGAAGTGGTTTTCAAACTTTGAAACTTCCTGTTATAAATATTACTAAATCTGACCTTAGTTTCTAGTTGACAAGTAGATTACTATTATTATTCTTTCAAAATCAAGAATTTCGGTTCATACCATGAGTTCTGTAGACATTTATGATCTAATTACTTTATTGGTTTTTGTGCGTTTTTCTGAAACTTTGTTCATGCTGCTTCTATACTCATATTGTAATAATTCAAATAATTTCAGATCAATACCAACGGCATATTGACGTTCAACATCGATTTTCCGGAGTATATCAATCAACCATTCCCACTGGAGTATCCATCGATTGCGCCCTTCTATGCCAATGTTGATACTACGCTCGCCTATAATATTACCTCGATATCAGTTTTTGAGCCCACAGAACCATATCAACTGCAAAAGGCCACCAAATTGGTGAATTATGCATTCCCCGAAAAGGCGCAATTCGTTGCTGATAAACTGATTGTGGCCACTTGGAAGAATGTGGGACACTTCAGCGCCAAAAATGATAAACTTAATACCTTCCAGGTATGTGGGAAAAGTAAAATTTTATTCAATTTAATTGTACTTATTAATGAAATACTCGTATATGAACATAGGTTGCCCTGATCGCCAATGAGGAGGAAACATTTGTGCACTTTATCTATGCGCATAACGGCATAAACTGGTTACAAGGTGAGACGGGGGTTTTGGGCTTGCCAGATATACGCGCACAGGCCGGTTTTGTCGCCGAAGATGGACGTCACTATTACATTGATGGCTCGGGCACAGATAGTGTGAGTATTTAGTTGCTTCAATTATCGGAAAGTATATTTTATTACCTTTGTGTATTCTCCGTAGGCGCGTTTTACTTTCACTGAGAACTCAAATATTGGGGTGCCCGGTGTTTGGTTATTCCATGTTGGCGCTTTGAATGAGACAGCAAATGTTGAGGTGGCCATTGACCAAGAAGGTCTCAATGTCATACCACAGTCGAAAACTTGTGCGGACAGTGGCCACAAAACTTGTAATTTCAACTCGGATTGTCACGATAAGTCCGACGGTTTCTGTTGCGTCTGTCGTGAGGGTTTTTACGGTAATGGTAAGGCTTGTCTCAAAAATGATTACCCAATACGCGTAACGGGCACCTTGGCTGGTCAAATCAATGGACAAGTGATCGATGAACGCGCCAAACTGCAATCATATGTTGTCACAGCTGACTCGCGCAGTTACACAGCCGTCAATCCGGTTAGCGTGGAGTTGGGCGCACAATTGCGTTTAGTGGTGCCCGTCTTTAGCGCCATTGGTTGGCTCTTCGCTAAGTCGTTGAATGGTGCTGCGAATGGCTATCATTTAACCGGTGGTCATTGCGTGCACGTATCGAAGATACGTTTCGAAACTGGTGAGTCTTTGATTGTAAATCAAACATTCGAGGGTTTGAACTACTGGGATCAGCTGTCTGTGAAGCTCGAATTGTTCGGTGAAGTGCCCACTGTGAGCAGTAATGCCAAATTACATATGGCCGATTATGTGGATGAGTATGCGTATGTGTCATCGAATGAATTACATTCCGTGCATGCACATTTGATTGAGATTCCTGAAGAGAATCGTGTCATCAACTTCCAGCTTGATCAATCAATTTACTTTGAACGTTGTTTGCTCGACGATGAAGTGCTACCAACAGGCACAACAGTGCTGCAGAAGGCTTCAAAGATTGTTTTGGACTATTTCGAACGTGATCAGGCCTTACGTACCAGCGTATTGACTAAGATTGGTGTGGACGCTGAATCGAATGCATGTACCGATGGCACGGCCAATTGTGGTGAACACACCGTTTGTGTGCCCTATGAGGATACCTATCGTTGTGACTGCCGTAATGGTTATGGCCCACAATTGCAGGAAGATGGCTTAGAAGTGTGCGTTGATATTGATGAGTGCCTGCTACAAACGCATGCTTGCGATGACAATGCTCTGTGCACCAATAATGAGGGTGGTTTCTCTTGTATCTGTTTTGAAGGTTATGAAGGTAATGGTTATCGTTGCTTGAAAAATGACACAGTCACTGAAGAACATGAGGAATATATCCCAGACTATATTATTGGCAGCAACTATCAAGATGAGTGTCAGGTGAGTTGTTGCTCAGTCGAAAAGTCGAGTCTATAATAAAATTATTATTATCTCTCTCTCTTTCCTTCAAGCGTTGCTCGCATGATGCTGATTGTGTAGAGAGCCGTTGTCAGTGTCGAGCTGGGTTCGAGGGTGATGGTTATGTGTGTAATCACATCTGCGGTCACGATCAAGTTTTGGAAAATGGCCGTTGCGTACCAATTTTATTGGACGAACATTCAGTTCAACCTCAATGCAACTTCTTGGGTGAATGTGAGTGTCCAACTGGTTATGAGTTGATCGAGGATTCTCAAACGTGCCGTTATACCGCACAATACACAAGTGACTCAAAATCTGAGGAATTAAGTGAGTAATGAGGCAGTAATGTCGAATGTGTTTAAGTAAACTGTATCAGAAAACTATATGCGAAAGTGGGGACTATACTAAATACAAACTAATAAATAAATAATATATGTAGGTTGTTCATTCGAAATACGAAAGGAACTCTAACAAAAATAGAAAAATAAATTTACTTACCGCACTTTTTATTCCTGGCGTTGCTGTCCCTAGATTTATTGCCGTGTTTGGTAGATTGCCGGTTAGAGCGTCTAATAGAAGTTAGACCTAACCATCTAAGTTCTTTATATGTACCTAACGCGGCAATAAGTTGAACTTGGTTTACAGCCAAGGTATAAAAAGCTTCGGTCCATTAATCATATTAATAGGATCTTCTAATGATAAATATATTCAATAAATATATGGTGGAACTACTACTTAGGAGAGTGGCAGGTGTTTTAAATTTGGGATTCTTTATTCGGGTTAATCATTCATATGCGGAGTTCTACTATTAGTCGCCCCCTTCGTTTAGTTAACTGCAATCCATCGATATCAATAACATTTTTTACGATATTCAAATTTTTGCTTACAGTACCCTGTGATGTGGATGCTAACTGTCACATAAACGCCACATGTGAGTGGTATGAAAATGAGATGCGTCATGCGTGCACCTGCAATCAAGGCTTCCAAGGTGACGGCTACAACTGCGAACTTATCAACACATCCTGTGCCTATGTAAGTTCACAAAAGCATCCAAATTTAAGAAAAAAAAAACTAAATAAATATCTTTTTAATGCTTACACTGACTAGAACGGCGACATTTGCGATCCACATGCCTACTGCGTATACGAAGAGTCACGTTGTGTTTGCGAGGATGGTTACGAGGGTGATGGTTATCATTGCCAACTGGCGCCCGATTGCCGTGATAACTCCACTTGTGGTCAGAATGCGTTTTGTACCGTGGGCGTTTGTCAGTGCTTAGCCGGTTATGAGCGCGATGTGTCTGATCTTTGTGTGCCAGCCGGACGTTGTGGTCCAGTCTTTTGCGGCGTTAATGCGATCTGTAAGTGGGACGCGCAACAGGGTGTACAATATTGCGACTGTATTGAGGGCTACGAAGGTGATGCCTTGGAGGGTTGCCGCAGCATACCGCCACCCTGCAATGTACGGAATAATTGTGGCGTGCATGCCACCTGTGAACCCACTGAGTGTGTATACGGAAATAAAAATATATGTGCCTTATTTATTCATTAACATATTTTTATCTCTCTGTACAGCGATCCCGCTAGGTATGAGTGCCAGTGCAATGCCGGTTTCCACGGCGATGGCTATGTTTGTGTGGAGGATCAAAACTGTCTGAACACACCACAGATGTGTGATATGAACGCCAAATGTTTGTCCACCAATAACGGTCTTGTCTGTGTATGCAATCAAGGTAAGGTTCTTTATAAGTTAGTTCCACTCCTACGCTCTAAGCGTTTTTCACGCCCTCTACGCTTTCACTTAAGAAATAATACACTTTCTCTTTGATTTTTGGTTTGTTGTCTTTGAGGTCATTCAAGCATAGTAAATGTTCTTAAATATTTATTTTTTCCCCTTTTGCTCATACGAAACTGTGCGCGGTCCCTCGCTCTTGCAGGCCGTGCAAAAACAGTAACCGAAAATGGCCAGACCGAGTAAAATGTTGAAGTAACCATTGTTGCGATCCCAGGTGAGCGGATGTAATAGAAATTCACGTAAGCCACCAAATGTTGTCATTTTTGGCTTTGGTGCATGTCCACCACTAATCTGCGGTCCACTTGGTCTCATTGACGGCGGCACTGTTGCGTATAGTCGGCTTTGCTTCATCGGTTGCGGCAGTGTTGGTATCCTCTTTGCAGAAAGGCCATGCTGTGCTGATAATTTTGATAAATAATGTAATTTAGAAATCAAATTTTGAGAAAACATTTTCTTCATCTATTGAAAAACTTCCTTCACCGAAAATATTGAATTGACACTGACAGTTAAAGCTCCGTATATTTGGTATAATTTTTATGCAACCAAAATATTAGAGACTACAAGTATGGTATTTTGGTTGAGTTTTGAAAGGTCTTATCAGCAAATGCGGTATTTGTACTAAAGCTGTTGAATATTATTATAAGCTTCTCCAAAGCAATAGCATATCCCGAGATCAACCCAAGTCCTATCGAGTAAACACCTTTTGTATAATATGAAGTTTGCCTCAATCGAAATTCGGATTTACAAATGTTTTGGTGGTAGTCTTGCTACTGCGGCTAGATCATTATCTTGCTATTTTTAGCGCTCTATGTAACTTTATATGACTTTGGATAACTGGCGTGGCGTGCACAGAGGTGGTTGGGATCCAATAGAGATTTTCAAGTTTGTATATTTAAAGTATATAGGAATAGAAGTAAGCAATAAGGCCTTAGACCTCTATAACAAGAAATCGGCCAATCTCAGTAGAAAGTTCTCTGTTTTAAGAGTTAATATCAATCTCTCGTCTCCGTCAAAACAATAGTTACTTTGATCTACTGTAGACTTGCGTCGATGCCAATATTTATTCTCAAGCTCAGAGGAGTTGTTTTCTCATTCCGCTGGGTAGTTCTCTACTAGTTGTTTTTATAAACACAAATTCTTCGCTGTAAATTTAACTTTTTGTTCAAACTACAAAGTATCTGTGTACTTATATTTACTTTTTCGATATCTAAGAATCAATAATTTCTTATAATTTTCTTATAATCACATTTTTCTTATGATTCTTCTCCATGACATTACCAGGTTTCTATGGCAATGGCTCTCTCTGTTTAGAACGTCAACAGCATGAATCCGGTTTCTTACTCGTCAGTCAAGGTGTCGTCATTGTGCGCGTACCATTGAATGGCAAGAATGTGAAACCCATCTCTGTGGCTTCGATGGCTATTAGTCTAGATAAGGATTGTGTAGAGGGACGCCTTTACTGGGGTGATATTTCTTCAAAGAAGATTGTTAGCGCCAAATACGATGGTACAGACTTAAAAACTTTCATTGCTGATGGTGAGTAAATGGCGTTAAAACAAAGAGAATAGAGCTTTTTATGAAATTAATTACTTTTACTAGATGTGGAGTCACCTGAAGGCATTGCAATTGATGTCATTTCACGACGCATATACTGGACTGACTCAGTAAAGGATACAATTGAGGTGGCCAGTTTAGAAAATGCTACGCTACGTGCCGTGCTCATAAATAAGAATCTGGTCAATCCACGTGGCGTTGCCGTGGATCCGTATAGAGAGTGAGTGCGCTTATGCTTTAGTGCTGTTGACTCATGTGTATTTATATGTTCTATATTAATAGAAAACTATATTGGTCCGATTGGAATCGTGAATCGCCGAAAATCGAAATGGCCGACTTGGATGGTACTGGACGTGAGTTGTTGTTGGGTAACGATGCTGTCATACTACCCAATTCACTGGTCATACTCGAGAGCAGCGGTGAACTGTGCTATGCTGATGCGGGCACCAAGAAGGTGGAGTGCATCGACTCATACTCGAAACGGCTGCGTACTATCTCCAATGATTTGACCTACCCCTTCGGCTTGACTTTCACACACAATCAATTCTACTGGACTGATTGGACAACGTATGATAATATACACATACCTATATCCTCTATTGTCCTACAACACTTTTAACTTTTTGCTTGCAGCAAACAATTGGAAATCGTCGATACTTTTGGCAATCGCCAAAAGGGCATTCAGACGCCTTTCTTCGGCAGTCACAAAATGTACGGCATGACCGCCATCGAGGATAGTTGCCCGCAACTAAACAGCCCCTGTCAGATCAATAATGGTGGTTGTGTAGATGCACGCATCTGCTTGGTGAACAGCAAGGCACCTTCGGGCAAGAGCTGCAAGTGTACAACCCAGTCGAAGAGCTGCAATATGCCACAGTTCGGTGTGCAGTTTTAAGGCGGCACCGAGCTCTATACTTATCTAATAAATACAATTACTAAGTGAAAAATTTTATTTATTCGATTTTTTTACAGCAACACCAACTCTTTGCACAGTTTTCTTAAAAAAATATATATATTTGTGTATGTATGTATTCTTATAAATTATGTACTTATAAGCACATCATTGAAGCAAAATGAAGAAGAAAAAAAAACTATTTATAAATACCATATAAGCTAAAAACACCAATGATTTTTTTTGTAATTTTTATATGCCGAGTATATTGTTCATAAATATGTTTGTATGTATTATGTGTTCGATATCTATTTTTCGGTAAATCTAAGTAATAAAGAGAAATACATATCCACATATGAACTTGTGCTTAAAAAACTATTTTAAAAAATTCAGATTATGTCTCTGTATTGGAGGAAAACTAAAAGAATGCTAATGAATCCTAGGATAAAATCATCATTAAGACCAGGCAATTTTGACCTTATTTAAAGTTGCTTACCTTGTTTTAGTATCTTTCTTCATTTGATGATAATATGGAGTTATTCTGGTAAGTCTTTGCATATTACTCTTTGCTGTGGGTAGGAATTAATTTTCGTTGTTTATTTTACGTAAATTGGGTTACTTTTTTAAATACTACTTATACCCTGAACAGGGTATTTTGAGTTTCCGACGAAGTTTCTAACACCCAGAAAGAAACTTACCGAAAGCAAAGCGGTAATACTTCATTATTAGAATCTTTTGAGTGTACGTTTATAGCTGAATCGCTGGTAACTGTAAAGCGGATGAGCTAGCCAGAGGGGACACTTTTAACTCGCTCATATCGGAATGGAAGAGAGTTGGATCTCTGATATCAACTTGCGATCTAGCACTGAATCAATGAACAGACGTTGGTCTACGACCCACTCCTGTCTGACTGCGAGATCTATTTGACATAGTGTAGAATGCAGGAGATCTACTGAACTATTTGCAGTTAGCAACGTTCATCTTGCCGCAATCGTGTGAGTTTTTACTATACATATTCTTTTAGGCATTAATGCGGCTAGTCTAAAAATCTTGTCGAATGCAAGTCCTCAAAATTTTATGGAGGAAAGTGAGGTGTAAGCATTCAGACACTTTCTCCGCCATTGCCCAGCCTCTGCAAGAACCAAGAGACATATCCGAAACTGTCTTTAGCAGACTCAACAAATTTGCAATAGGCTTAAGATCAATTATATAGCGAAACGTTTTGTGTTGAATGAAAAGCGTTGGCCGGTTACATTTTCAGATGTAGTTACGCATATAGTTGATATAAGAGCTACATCTTTGATGGGTTCACTTCAACTTCAAGCAGCAGCCAAAGCTAGCGATTTTTTTGTTTTTCAAACCATCAAAGTATCGTATATGTCTCAGCCGTTGCTTCTTCTTATTATTATGAGTTTTTGAAGTTAGTTGACGATCTTGAACGAGCTAACAAAATCAACCTTTCCAAACTAAATAATGCCGATCCGGTATGATACTTAGAACTTAGAAATAAAAGTGGTCATGAAGACCCGCATGAATTGACGCATGATTTTGAGCCGATCACAAATTTGTTGTTGGGGCTAATGTTAGTTTCGGCTATATCTCCTGGTTCGCCGAAGGTATGACTGCCGAGATGTTTCAACCTCAATCTTACAATGCTTGCTAAGTGCAGCGGAAAATATAACTATTTTTTAGTGATTTAAAATTCTTTCTGTTGATGCCGAAATTTTCTGGGGACTCACACAACCGCCTGTCTTCCATAGACACTTAGATAACTTATACAAGGTTCCAGAATTAAACGAATTTGTCTCTTTCCTATGAGTTAAAAAGATCTTCGTTGGAGCTTCTCAACCGGTACAAAATCGTACCATATTAAATAAATACATGCGCAATTAGGAAACTTCAATGAATATTTTTATTTAATTTTATTCTTTTGTTTCATATATGTAGGTATGTATACTTCCAATTACATTTTCAGCGCTATCAATTAAAATTTAATTTTCTGAAATTTAGTTTTCAATTGCATTTTGCAGATTTACAATTTTAACGTCTTCTGCGTATTTATATTTGTATTTTTGTGTTTGTTTTTGTATTTTTTTATTTTTTTCTTTTCTTGAGATGAACTACATAGAATATTACAGTTATAGCGGCAACACTTACAGTTACTTATTACTTCAACAACTTATTGCACTTTTCCATTTTCTTTTCTAACTTCCTTCTTCTTTATGCTTTATGATATACATTCTAGTTTCATTTAAATATAACAGTAAATATAATTATTTAGTTTATTTATATATTTATGAATTTTTGTTATTTTTTGTTTCATTATTTAACAGCTAATTTTTACATTATCCAATTTGTTAAGTGTACAGGTGACCTAATATGCTGAATGAAAATTCAAGTGGCGTCCCAAGCGACAATGGGTGCTAAAAAACTTGAATGTGTTTTTTTAAATCCTAAAACAAACTTAGAAATAATTTTCGAGTTTGATCACTTATTTTTTACTTAAATTTCAATTTAGGGTTAATTTTAAAATTTAAAATTATGTAATTTTAATGCTTTGGAAATATAAAAATAAATAATAATTTACGTTTAAAATGTTGCAATAATACTGGAAAAATTCTAAAATTTTTTTTGTTAAAACGGAAAATGACCAATTTAAAGTGTTTTGCATAATTTTAAGGAATTTAAGTACTTCTCCGAAGTGCAGTTTATTTTAGCGTGGTATGCATGCACACCGATAGCATAACTGTTATACAGGCCTTGAACTCGCTGACTGTAAGTGCCTGTCCACAGGGCAATCATCGGAAATTTTAAAACCGATGAGCTTGCAAGAAAAGGCACTCATACCCAAACTCGATCTGAATGGGAACGAGCAGGGGTTCCCCTGTCTTTGTGCATTCGGGCGCTGGATCTGTGAGCTTCCGTGTGGGGTTGCGAAAGTCTTTTGCAGCGTAAAAGGTCCATTGAACTGCTAATGCTTAGCAAGGCTCACATCGCCGCATTTATAGGCGGAACACTGTCCCATTGACACTCACGTGGTAAGGCTGAAGATTTTAGAGAACGCAACTTGTCAAAGTTGCATCGAGCAACATAAGGTGGAAATATCTACATATTTTCTCCTCCAATGGCCAGTTTACCTTACCTAGAAGTTCTGGCCATCTCAATAGTCAAGCGTCTCTAGCTCACGAGATATCAGCCTATTTACCTATTTTTTATTTGAAATAATTAATTAATTTTTTCTTGTTTTAGTTGTATTGGTTTTTGCTTAAAATTTTAATTTTGGTATTTTTTATTTTAATATTTTTTTGTAATAATTTCAATGTAAATTTCCGGTTAATTTATCATAAAAGTTATAGTACTATTTTTATTACCCTGTTTCTATTCTTTATTATACTTATTGCTATTATATGGTAGCGAAATATGGGCCGAAACATTAATTGGTGAATTTGGTGAGCCGGTGTCAAAATTGGACTATCCGCCCATATTTAGGTGAAATTACATATCTCCGAACCTACTAGACCAATTTCAACCAAATTTAGTATATAGGATTATTTTGACATTGCCATGTTATAATATAAAAATCGGTATACAACCACGCCTACTTCCCATATAAAACAACTTTAAATTCCATATCTTTTTTACTTTCCACTATACAAATCAAGCACTAATTTATATATATTTAGACATAAAATTTTGCATAAAGTGTGCCTTTAAAATATGCCATCTCAATTCTAAAAGTTGTGAAAATCGGATTTTACCTATGCAAGCGCCCAGATACCGAAAATGGGGACCACGGAGCCTATGGCTATCTTTTTAATGAAAATTTCGATCAATGTGTGAGATATATATTTGAAATTAGGAGAGAATCCTTTCCTGATAATAGTACAAGTATAATATATCTGTATGCCAAAAATGGGTTGAATCTGCTCAATATTTCCCTTAGTCCCCACACTTATACTTAATGGAAAGATTTGCAAACTTTCGGTTGATTTTATTTCCCATATAATAAATATATCGCTCAATACGTGAATTATCTTAATTAAATTGAGTTTGAGTGTTTTTCTCCTAACGATGCATCTCTTTGACTAAAGTGAATAAAATTGGGTGAAAACTTGCACTAGCCCCCCTATAACTAATATCTGGATTTTCAAACATCCAGTTGACTTTACTCATTGTATATAATAATATATTGTTGAGGGTATATGAGGTACCTTAATGAAACTCAGATATCATCTGTTTCAGTAAATAATATGTAGTAATGTCAAAAATAGATAAAACTCGCGTCAATACTACACATATTTTCTATATAACTAATAAAAGATTTTCAAAATTCCGGTTGCCTAATATTGGATATAAATTAGTTTAATGCCGAAAATATGTCAAATTATATTGTACTGCATACATAATATAATAAATTAGTTTAGCGATGAACATGAATGGAGGTTGGTCTAGACCTTGGTCTTCTGGTTGACGTTTTGCACATCAATTAAATATAATAAATTTGACCTGTTCGGTTAAGTTTATGTCAGATATATTTCATTTGAGGAATAATTTTAATATAATTTTCGCTGACGGGAAGTAAAATATATTTATAAAACTAAGTGAGCCTTTGACCTATAATAAATTTATAAGTTAATAAGAAACCGAATTTTATTGTAAACCATTCACAATTTCGTCGTGTAATGAATGTTGAATTCTTTCACCGGCTTTGATCAAGTTGCAAGTTGCAAGAGTATGAAATGTTCGATTACACTCAAACTTTGTACTGCCTTACTTCTTTTAATTAGGTTTTTAACCGTTATTTGTTGTTATTATAATTGTGATTTCGGATGATTTGTTTGTAATTTAATTAATGTTTAACATTTATTTGAATTGAATTTTGCTGAAAATATTTCAACAGCTTGTTATTATGTTAAATTGTGGAATTTATGAAATATATTTTTCTTTCATTAAATTTGTCTTTAATAAACAAAAATGATAACTTTTTATCGCTATTAAAAATTTTTTTTTTGGCAAAATTATGCAAAACACTTTATATAGTCATACAGAAAATTATTATTCTACAACATTTTTCATTGCACAGTGTAACATTTCGAAGCTGCTAGTAATCAAATTAACAAAATTTTGTTTTTAAAAGCAACAGTTTTCCTAAAACATATACTCTAAATGCGCTTGTCAACATTATATACATATGCAACAGTGCCGAATATTTAATATGTATAAATAATTATATACATTATATATACGCCTTAACTCTATAACTAAATTATTTACGAGTGCATTCATACTTAATTTGTTTCATTAAAGTTAAGCTAAGGCTATTTTATGCATTTAAGTCTAATAAATTTACTTAAAATTTGTTTGAGAACGTGTAAGGCCTTATGCATAATTAGGAGCAACTACATATGTACATACATATATTCATATATCAACCCGTTATAACGCGTTATTTTCCACTTTCGAACTGTTTCAGCAGTCATTAATTTTGGCTCGCGACCCACACTTATACCTAATAAAATTCATTTTCTAAAGTTTCGTTTCTAACAGTTTACTTACAGTTGTTTTTTGGATATATTTTATTTTTTTGTTGTAATTTTACACAATTCCAAATTTGTTAATTTTTGTTCTAGACTTATATATATTTCTTTTTCGCATTATTTCCATTTGTTTTCTTTTTACAAATTTATTCTCTGATTATATCGTCCCTAATTCACTAATCTCAATTCTTGTAAAGCATTAATAGTATACCAAAGCGTTTATCAGTTTTACTAAAATGTTTCAATTCTCTCTTAGCATAACCTACAGACGTATCTAATTCTTGCATATTCAATACTCATCTATATCTATTGTATATGTATGTACAATCTTACAGATCTATTTTTTAATAATTTATCTAAAAGTATCTTCATTACTCAAATTATTTGGTATTTACCTACAATTATACCACATTATATACTATTGGTTCTGGTGCATACAATTTAATGTACTTAGAAGTGTCTACAGTAATCATTTAACAAAGATCTTTTTATAAAAATCTCAATTAAAATTAAAAATTGACATTATTTAATTTTATTATATTTTATTATATAATTAACTAATTGTAATCAGCATGGATATAGTGAAAGAAAGCAATAATAACGTTTAAGTAGTAAAAAAGAACAGAATACAATGACTAATTGAGTCAATTAGCTAAGGCAATTAAGATGTCATTTAACTGGATAGCTGTGCTTCGCGGGAGCTTGATCAGCACTGAGCCATCATTGGTTCTTGCGCTGTCGTAAGATTTTTTTGACCCAAGATCGTTCAAAAGATATCCAGTGTCCACACTGTAATCTTAACGGATGCCAGCTTCAGAAGCTGTATGGAAGAAGACGAAGTGAAAACATCTCAATACTTCCTTGTTGATTGTTTCGCATTTGAGAGATCAAGGCTTAAACATTTGGGATCTGACAATTTCAAATATCCCACCGAGCTGATGGGAATAGAAATTAAATGCCTAAGCAAATTTATATTGGCCACAGGCCGCTTTGGTGAGTTATTAGATGGGACTGCATATTATACTGAGCGAAACTACTCCAAGAGCAATCCCTGGAACCTTCCCACTTAAAACAATCGGAGTACAAAAACCAATGTATCTCAATCTATACCAACGAGTCTAAAATAGATTGCAGAGTAGATGTAAGCGTATACTCCAATAATCTTGATATCCCTCTTTCTCTCCACCTACCATACTCAACCAACATCTTCCAAGCGAAAGTACTAACATAAGTATAGAGAAGGCCTGTGGAGTTCTACAAGTATTGAATAACTACGGAAAGTTACAGAAAGCAGCCATATACACGGACAGCCAGGCGGCATTGTGGTCTTGTCGACGACACTGATCAATTCCAGTGTAGTCAACAACTGCAGGAAGGCTTTAAGCTCACTGGCATGTCAACTCCGTTTTTTAAACGAATCCGAGGCGCATTCAATGCCATGCTCCCTGTGAACGATAAAAAGAGAGCTTTATATGCATTTTAAACAAATAGTTCAGAGCAGATGGAATTCAATAACACGCTGCAAGATAATAAAGCATATATGACCCAAATATGACAAGCATAAAAACAAGGTCCTACTAATTAGGTATACACACTTACAGCTACTGTAATGTGGTACTGGCATATTGGAGAGCATGCGATAAAAACGGGCTTACCATAAATGGTTTGAATACAAAATTATGCTTATGACCCTAAGAAGCATAAATTTGTGCATGACCAATTTTGTATCCCTACCTTAATAATTCCTGTTTACAAGCCAGCAAAAGGACGGCCTGTAATCATAAAAATCAATTCATTTGTGATTAAACTATATGATCCCAAAGAATCCGAAATCGACAAAGGGCTTAGTCCACGACATTGTCTAAAAAATATTTAATGTATTTTCGAAAATAGAAAAGTAAAATCGAATGTATAGTGCCAAGAAATAATGAAACGGAAAGGTAATCTTAATTGCTACCGATATTATTATAAATACAGTTATATCGGATAAATGTATTGTTTTCTACTTACGTTCTAGTAAATTACAATTACAGTTTGTTTTGTGCTTTGGCTATTATTATTTCACCATTTGTTTGTACAGTTTGAATTCATGGTTTTTATATTGATTTTTTTTTAACTTTATGAATTTTTATTTTTTGTATGTTTTTATATATATGGTAAACAAATTATTGTAAAAAAAATATATATTTTTTTATAAAAGAATAAAGTTTTTGAGAAAATAATCTATTGGTTCTATTTCTCATGGGCAATCGATTTTCGTTCTTTTTGGTATCTGTTAGAGCTTAGAGAGAAAAGATGTTGGATAATTAGAGAGAGAAACATATTTTTGTGTGGAATTAGGTGAGTTCTCGACGAAAATGTGTAAAGATGATTTTACTAAAGCCTCAGGAACTGCTTCGAATTTATTAATATGAGACTAAGGGCTGTTAGCTTCTTTAAGTTGACACTCTTCATAGCTTTTATAGGTGGATGAAGGTGTGTGTGCATGCGAGAAACATCAGTTATTAAACTACTGTTTAATTTTAGAAATATAGGTGACAATAGTTGGTCTCCTATTAGCCTATCATTATTAGTCGGCCTCATTAAAAATTTCCACTTTAGCTTTCAGCAGTTCCAAATACTTGAGGGATCACATACTATAGTTTACGTAATTAAAAATACAATTCTTAGTTATGTGCTATACCACATTTACCAAATTTTTTGATAATGAACTGAGAGAAATTAGACTAAGTTTTTGCTGTGTTTAACGAGTTACTGCCTTGTTGTGTTGCAGGCTAAATAAAATATAGACTGATGCAATCCCAGAATATATATTTATCTGCCCTTTTGAACAAAGTAACACAACTTGTGGACTTGAAAAGTGATTGTTTTGTATAAGAGATGTATTAAAAAGAGTTTTGAGTGAAAGTGAGAAAAATAATTTTCTGATTCCTACTCTAACCGCTTGAGAATTAGATGTTTAACCCTAATATAAGAATAACTTAATTAAAGCAAAGTCGGTACGAAATTTTGAATAAGAAAATTTCAAAAAAACAAAAACAATAAATAAATAATCACCTACAGCTCATATATATTATAATAGTTTTTCAAAAGAGAAGCAAACAATATTTTTCATAATAAATTAAACGATTTTTTTTTAAACAAAATAAACATATTTTGATTACTTAATAAATAAAAAGTATTATTAGTTATTACATATTATCTACAAACTCAAAAATATATGTATGTTTTTTAAATATTGTACATTCACAATGCATTTAATAAATATTTATAATGAAATAGCTTTAGGCTTACCCTACCGCTACAATTGAACGAGTCACATTATTTACAGCTGATCAGTCGATCACTACAAACGAAACTTAAGCTAAGTGATTATATATATTAATATATATATATATATATATTTGTGAAATCGTTGCATTTTAACGCAGTTGCATACGACGACATGACAGCTTCGGCAATATTTGCGTTTTCCCTCTTACGCTACAGCTATTAATCTATACATATGTACATGATGCGTGAAACTACTTTGTTGCTAGCTCTGCTGCTATACATACGTGCTTCTATGTGTGAGTTCCCCTAACTACCCGTTTTTGTTTGCAGTCCGCCGCAGTAACGATAGCCGACATTCGTGACGTTGTGATGTCATCACGGCGTGACATTTAGACGCCTTAGCACCGCTCCGATTTCTACTTATATTATATCCATTTATTTTTCTTCGTTATCGTCGAGCGGAGTCTGCGACCCCACATAAGGTTGTATCATACAATTGTCCCTTGTAAATGTTGCGGTGATTGCATTTGTCCGGATTGTTGTGAATCCTGTTGTGGCACTTGTAGCGGTGAATTATTGTTACTCGATGTGGGTGATGCGCCCAAATCGGCAGTATTGATGGCCAATGATGAACCGCCGCCAAGTGTGGAACCACCTAGCGCCGAGGGATTAATACCACCACCGGGACCACCGGCCACAATACAGGGTACACCTAATATGGGTGTTGGTTCTTCGGGTGGTGTGACCTGATATTGAAAGTACAAAGAGTTAGGTGTGGACTATTAAGGCGGTATAAAAACACCTATATTTCTGTGAGTATTTTTTATATGTATTAGGGTGGTACTTAAACAATTAAAAACCCGCAATTTTTCAAACTCATCTGTATTGGCGGATTTATGTATTCAGTACTGCTAATGCAAAGTATGACGCTTATTGGAAAAAGTTTAACCAACCTTTTTAAGTGCCACCCTAATGTTTACACATAATCACACTGACCTCCAGTCCTATACTGCCGTTGAGCGCAATTTTAATGGGATTCGTGTGATTCGTTGCTTGCATGAGCGTTGTAAAATGGCTAATGCCGATTTCCTCCAACGAGGACTTACGACGACCATGACTAACACCAACACTGGGTAAGCCTTGTCGCAGTGATGAGGATCGCCGTAGCAAAATATCATTCTCGATCTGCAAATGAAAGTAAGCGGAACGAAACCGATTCAAAAACGGGAAATTCACCAATATTCCAAAACAACAACAAAAATAGGGGGTGTCGTTTTTGAGTGAGCGCAAAATACAAAATCACAAAAAATCATTAACTACACATATTGTTCAAAATTCTTCTCATTGCAAAAAAAAATTAGTATTTTTAGGTGAATTACGATTAAAAATAAAATCTAATTAAATTAAAAGTTGCAAATATATATATATTTTTTTTTCATTTATATCAATATTTTGATGCAGATACAAATGTGATGGTTTTGCGTATCCACTGGCTTCCGCATTCCTCACTAGTATCAAGCCGTCAAGCCATCAACAACCGGTATTCTTATACGTCTGTAGTTAGTGATACAAATGTAGCTCACAATTGGTGATCGGTGAACGGTGATGCGGTGTCGATGGTTGCAGTTGTGGTGGTGATGGTGGTTGGTGCCACACTAAGTAGTTGCTTGCGGTTATATAGTGATGTTAATGAATGGGAAAGAGGGTAGTGGTGATTTATAGTGTTAGTGGGATAGTGAGTAGTAGGGCTCTGAGATTCACATTAATTTGTTAAATTTATTATTGACTAACTAAATTAAATTCTATAAAAATACTGTTTCAATGATTCCAATAATTTTGGGAGAAAAAAAATTTAATTTAATCTCAGAGACCCATTACGGACGTTTCGATACTTTATGGTGTTTTAGAAAGTTATTCAAGACAGTGTTACTTATACACAATTAGTGAAGTAAAGAAGGGTTAAAAAATAAATAAATAGTTTGTTTAGTCGATAAGAATAAGCATTTGCGAGTTCGTTGATCGAGCTTCTTCCTATATTTATTTTTGTTCTAAGTTTCAGTAATGTCAGACAAAATAAGTATTGCGCATACTCTTTCCCTCTTTTTGAAACGAATGGATATTTATAATAATATTTTCTAAAATCAAAATTTTTTGGAGACTTTTCAATATTCGCTGAGTCAACAGTTGGAACTATCTCATCAAATCTTTTCTAAAAAGTCTTTATCCAGCCTATACAATGGTGCGAAAATTTGTCAATTCGAATGACAGCCACGCCTATTACCTCATAATGGGTATTTAAGAAAAAATCCTTAGCTTTAGAATACAACACTCGGTTGAGTATTGGACCAAACTCATTTTATTCAAGAGACTGAATAATATGTAAAGCGTAATTTTCCTGTTTTTTGAAGAAAGCCCTCAAATCGAAATATTAGCCTTCGAGTTTCGAAATTTTACCTACATACAGTAGATAACCAACTAAAAAGTTAAAAATATGGATATCATTAGCGGTTTCCTCTTCTTCAATCAAGTATAACATTTTTGTGACAAGCTTATGTGACAGATACTATTTATAAGGTTTGAAAGTCGGGCCCATATTTTTGAAATATTAACATTCAATTTTTTTTGATGGTTCGGCCTTGATCCTATAACATTTGTCGTTTTGTAAGTATATATATAAGCTTGACTGAAAAATATTATATACAATTGGAATAAGAAGAAAACTTGGACAAGAAGAAGAATTTAAGAATTCATAGACTATAATGAATGTACTTCAACTTTGAAATTCGAGGAAAATATTTCTATTTTGGAGAGTTGGAAACTTCGATAAAAGGAGAAACCAAAAATTGTTCTAGTCTAATACACCGAAAAAGAGTCGACTTTGCCGTACAGTGGTATGATCGGCATAGTGGTGACACACATGGTGAGACTTATATTTCGCGAATAATTTTCCAGCAGAGGTCACTTTAACTAGTAATTGATCTTTTTCTAGGATAAGAGAGTTATTCATTTATTACTTTACTTATATCTTAGTCTACTTAAATTAATATGAGCCAAGTGATGTTCAATACGTTGTTGAAGGGTCTGAATATTGGTTTAGCAGTTCTAGACCATCTCATATATCTCGAACCAGAATAAAGGGGAAATTTAACATTTATTCCTGTATTCCTATTTTGCCACAGCTTCCGATAAATTATTGGCGAAATACAGCTCTAAAACTATTTAAGCTTTTTTCGTTTTGTAACAACCCATTTCGGAACAAATTGTAAAACCCCCCCACTATATAACGAGTACTTAACATTACATATAAATAAAAAGAATGAAAAAAAATGTGAAAACACTAAATTGTTCTTGCTGTACATGGTGAGAGGAGAGGATGGTGAACAGTTAAAAGTGAAAAGTACGAAAGTTTAAGTGTTAAACGAACATAATCAAAACACAACACAAGGTACGTGATACGCGATACAAGAGATACGCAAGATCAACGATAGAGAGAACGTAACAGATAACGAAGTAGAAAATGAAAAGCAAAATAGTGTGTTTAACGCCAATGGATAAATGGATAAATAGTAGCCAACCCGCAATGAATTGCTCCGGCCGCGCTGTGTGCCAACAACCGTCGGACTGTCGGGTAGAGAAAGAGAATTGGATTTAATTTGTTGTATGGGCGGCGAGCAGCGTGGCGAACCATACCCGGCCAACGTCTGTACGCTTTGCATTTGCATTGGATTCAGGCCTGCTATGCCGGAGCCACGACGCGAACCCGCACCGGCTGCGGCACTAACGGTTGGTCCGCAGGCGGCACCCAAATTGATGTTCGAACAGAAGGATATGTTTGATTTGCGGCGTGAATTGTGACGTTCGAAGGTTTTTTGCGCTGAAAACGGCGACGGACGCACCAAGTAGCTGTAAAAAAGAAAAATTTCAAAATTAAGTTAAATGATTTATATACATATGGAATGATATCTTTAGTAGTGTAGTGTAACTTACATGACATCGCCCTCTTCCAACTTCAGATCACAGCTCGGATTGATTATCACATACGATAGATGATTACGCTTCTCGCTCACGTCGTCATAATCGATTGTCGGCAGGTTCAATGACTCCATACGACTGCGTACCAGATTCGCGATCTCGGCACGTTCGATTTGTTGCGCATGATTGTTGCGCGCCTCATCGGCTAAATTGATCGAGTACTGAAAAAACATAGAAGACTGCTTTACGATTAGTCGACTTAGTTCGGTTTCATCAATTAGCAACACTACGTTTGTACGATTATTAGTAGGTGTGTACTCCAGCTACGGACGTTATATATATACACATTCGGATGCAAATGCGAGACAATTAGTACTACAGAGTTTGGTAAATATATGGTATATGCAATTCTTTTTTGTTGTTTATTAAGTGAGTATCTAAGGCATCGCATTGTGAGTTGCTGTGGAGTATTCAGTAAAAATGCATAGAATTTTCTACGATATAACGCTCGAATGAGTAAAATCTAGCGTTTCGGTGATATGCAAGTAGTACGTGGCATCGCAGAGATTTCAATTTCGAGCTTTTTCTAAATAATTTTTAAATTCGAGTTGCAGAAATCGAGCAGTTATTCTATATTATATATTTTATACACATCTTTAGATATTTTGTTTATATACATAGTATATTAGCTATAAATAATCGTCTATCTAGTTGCAATTCAAAGCGTAGGAACTCATACAGAACATGTTTTATATTGTGTTATATTATTTTACAGGCATATTGTAATGTTCAAAAAATTTTGAATACCTACCTTTGAATATTAAATAATAAACTTGTTTACAGTTAAGGTAAAAGTAAGAGAGCTTTGTGTTATAATTTGATTTCTTTCAGTTTTCCTGTTTTTTTGCAGTTGCATTATTTAATGTCTTCCTTTGAATCATGACAAGTTCCACTTTGGAATTGAAAAGTACAGTTCTGTTACAGACATATTATAACCTAGCTACGCTAATTGTAGTTTCCTACCATATTTACAAATTTGACCTGACTTTTTCGGCGTTTATTCCATAGAGAACCCAAGTAAAGGGTGTTTTTTTAGACGTGTATTTTTCAATGAGGCAGCAGTTACTTGATTTATACTCAGTTTGGTTTGCCATTTCATATTGAATAAACTCACTTCAGAACAACGTTTGCAAATCGTGTAAATTTATTAGCAATAATAATGTTTCGATTCGACATAATCGTGTAAAAAAGGAAGCCGAACAACCATCAAGCGCATCGCACGTTCGGGGAATGCGTCCAAAACGAGATGATCACCGATCCCGATTTTCATAAGAAAATTTTGTTCAGCGCTTGCGCTCACTTTTAATTGGATGGGCACGTAAATAAACAAAATTGTCACATTTGGAGTGATGATAATCGACAAATCTTTATTGAGACGCCGTTAAATTCTCAAAAAGTCACTGTTTTGAGTGCTCATGGTTTGATTCTCTCTATCACTGGTCTATAGTGACTTATTCTTCCCCTCGGACAAGCGATTAAGCGGAGGTATTGCTTTTGACTTTTCTAAATCTCCTTTCGAAAGAATATTATATTCCTCAAAGTGGTTGGTGAGGGACATTTTCGTCAAAAATATTGCCAAAGCAACAATTATTGTGAATGTTAAATTCGTACTGTAGCTATTCTCAAAGGGATGATGTTTGATTGAAGAGCTATGGATAATGCAAAGCCAAAACTCCCCCTTCCCAGAATTTTGAGGTTTAAGCTTCCCATCAATATGCACTAGTATGTTAAAAGACCTAAAAAAATTAAAAATGAAACTTAACTCAAACGAGCCCAGATTTTTATCCACCCAAGGACTGTGATCTCGACAGCATTCCTACAAATTATTTCAGGAATGTTTTCTTCAGAGTATATAAATTTAGTTCACCTAAATATTGTTTGGAACCGATTGTAGATAAATAGTTATATACCTACAAGTATATAAAAAAGATCGTAAGGACAAGACAAATTGAACTGCGGACTGTCTGTCCGTCTGCCCGTTGGTGCCAACGATAACTTGGGTAAAGATCCAAAAAATATTGGACTATGGACACGCCTCAAAATGCCACATAACTCAAATGTTAAAACCCTTTTTGCTAAGAAGGCGTGGACTCCTCCAATTTTTGAAGAAGCTGAGCTTTTTGGCGAAAAAAATTAAGGAAATATTTTGACTCGGAATTAACTACAAAATTTGAAACCACATAATTTTTTGAATTGACTAGTGGAAAAGGTTAAACAAAAATGTTTAAATATGTTTTCGTCTTTTTAAATTTTTGGTTCTTAGATTGGTCTTTAAATTGACTAAAGTTGAAAGAAACTAGGTATTTTCGTTTTTTTCCAGAAATTACTAACGATCATAGCATAAAACTGAATTTACGAAGCCGCCATATTGAAAGCATATTAAGATTAGCGATTTGGAGATTTTCCGAAATTAATATTTAATAGAAATGTTGGTAATAATAAATAAGTACGTGGAGCTAAACTTCGAACTTTTTGATCATGACGTGATTAATACTCAGTATTGCATAAATATAAGGATGAAAATGTTAGAATTTCAAGTGATAAAGTTACCCTTTTATATCTCAATTTTTGAACTGCATCAAATTTTTCGAAAGCAAGTTTCAAAATAATAAATAAAATAAGTAAATATCAAAATAATTTCTTCTTTACGTAATAAAAATTATTACTTACACTCTAAACACTTAAACACACACATAAACGAATAAGTACCTGCAGGCATACATCTAGGCGTTCAAGGCGCTTGGCATAATGTGCAATTAACACAATTCGTGATCGTTTTTTTAATTATACGTTTTGTACTTACTGATGAACCCTTCCGTTCCGAACAGCCACCCAGACAGGTGGTCGACTTGTGTTGTGATGGATGGCTTTGATGATGATGACCAGATGCCGAAGGCGGTCGGTAGGTAACGCCACGAAGGACTTCGCTGCTGTCCTTCGTCGAATCGGGTGTACCCGCTTCTTCGTCGTACTGTACCGGTACCGTTCAATTGGGCGAGTGGTCGTTTTGGGCGATTTGTAGTAGTTACACATGAGCGTGTGTTTTATTTTTTTTTTGTGGAAATGTGGATTTTTTGTAGCAGTAATGCAAATGTTAGATACAAAATGAATTTTTTATTGAGTTCAAATTCCATTCTTTCATAAAATATTTCGTGTTGTTTATAAAAAAAATGTGTGCATTTATTATTGAAATTTAAAATATACTAATATACTTTTGTTTTTATTGTAAATATTCATACAATATATATATGCACGCACACATACATACAAAATAAAATGTACATGCACTGCGGAGTTTTGAAGGGATCTTTGTGGACTTTGGGATGGTTTTGGGAAACATTGTCAAAAATAATAAGAATATATATTTTTTTTAAATTGTTATTTAGAAAAAGTAGTAAAATTACACCAAGAAATATAAAAAAGTTGGGATTTCGGAGTTCCATTTTCAACTACAGTTTTTCTTAAAAAATAAAAATTGATAAGTTTTCTTTTAAGCAAATGTAGTGGAAAAGTTGTGATACATACATATATGTATGCCAAAAAAGTTTACGCATATTATCGGTTCCAACAAGGGCTTTACACTCTTCTTGAGAACCAGAAAGCCGATATAAAATATAGCTTTGATTAATAATATAAAGTTTTTTGATGAGCACCGATATAGCGATCGGGTTGGAACCCACTCTGGATGCTATTACGGGATGGGTGCTATAGATTATACTCGATCATCTTGAGGACTTCTTTCGAGATCCGCATTGATATCTAGTTATATTTGAAATGACCACTGAAAAGTGGATAATACTATAATGTTTCGGTTGGGTCTTCTGACCAACTTAGCCCTTAATAGTCCATTTTCAAAATATTTTGGAGTTTTATAATTTCATATGGAATTTGGAGAATGGGTAACAAAGTAGCCAGGTTACTTGAAAAAGGTAAACTTTTAGAAAGTTTCAATTTGTCGAAACCCTTTAAACATATATGAAAGAAAAGGAACGGAAAGTGACATAAAATGAAATTGTCATGTAACTATCTCGGTAAGGAAGGTTAATCCCTGTATATGTAAATGAAATAAAAACAAGTCGATTGGAATAAGAAGGAAAGAAGTGATAAACTAATAAAGTTGAAAAAATGAAGAAACATGTGAAATAGTATGCAAAAAATAGAAAGACGAAATTTATGTAAAAGAATGGAAACAGAAGCAGAATATAAAAATATCACTTTAATATAGAAGTTATCGATATAAATAACAAGTGCCAACAAAAATCCGTGCCAGATTTTGTTAAAATAGTTTGTTAAATAAAAAAGTTTTCTATACAAGAACTAAATTTTGATAGGTAAATTTGTATGGTTGGTATATGTTATAGTAGTCCGATCTGAACGAGTTCTTCGGAGAATATTGAGATAATAATCGATGCCAAATTTCGGGAGCATACTTTGACAAGTAAAAGAGTTTTCCATACAGTAGTCCCATTTGATTGATTACTTCGGAAACTATAGTGATGCCTAGGAGAATAGTTTATATCTACTTTCGTGAAGAAATCCAATGTCAAATAAAAAAATTTTCCATACAAGGACTTCGGTTTGATTGGTCAGTTTGTATGCCAGCTATATGCTGTACTTATCCGATATGAACAATTTGTTCGCAGTTTGTGGCGATGCGTTGGATAATATTCTATGCCAGATTTCGTGAAGATATCTTGTCAAATAAAAAAGTTCTCCATACAAGAACTTGATTTTATCGGATGTTCGGACAAATTAGCAGCTTGTTGGAAAGAAAGGGACGTGTGCAAATTTTCAGATCGATATCTAAAAAACTGAGAGACCCGTGCAGCATACAATAAACATAAATATTTATATGAGTATAAAGGAAAGCTACATATATGATGGACTGTACGTAAAAAGACTGACATTTGTGGGATATTAACGTGAATCTGAAAAAACCAGAGCAGAGTGAAATATTGATGATTGGACGAAACTACCATTGAACATTCTATTGAAATGGTAGAGAATTAAATAAGAAAGCATCGAATATGAAAAAGGTATGGCACAATAAGAAGATAAAGCAAATTAAATGTAAAATAGTGCTATAATGGAAGAGACATGATATAGAATGCCATATATTAGAGTTATATATCTGAGCAAATAATACAAGATGAAAACAAATGAAAACAGAGTTGGTAAAGTGATTTTACAAGAAAGCAGGAGAAGAAAAAAAACGAATATAATTATGTGAAAAGGAAAATTACATAAGGTAGGAGATTGTAACACAGAACAATTAAGTGAAATCGGGTAGAGTGGCAGCTTATGGTAAGACCTACTTTATGGTGTGTATGAATGATCGGCATAAAGTGAAATACACAAAAAAATACACAAACAATATTAATTTGGAATTTTTTGTCACAACTTTGTTTCGTAGAGTATTATCTTTCTTTTATAATGATTGTTTTGAATTTTTTATTATATAGAATGAATGGATGCGGTGTGGAATGTTTTGTTGAATTTGATGTTTGATGATCTACTATGTATCTATGTTCAACTAAGTAACTTTCTTCTACCAGGCAACGTCTTATTAAACGATAATATCTACATTGTATTACAGAAAGGACATTCTTTGTATTTGAGTTTGATCTAAAAAGCAATTCAAACTACGTAAATTTTAAAAATAAATATTAATTAAAGAAAAATGTAAAAATGTGGCTGGTGTAAAATAAAACGCATTTTTTGAAAAAAAAACTTGCAAATGTATACCAAAATAATATTGATATTAATAAATATAACTGTTTCTTAAAAAGACTTTATGTGAAAAATTGTTAAAAATATCGGAAATTTTCTTGAAATTTGGACAAAAACTAAAATGTAAAAAAATATTAAAAAAAAAAATGATTTAAAAAAATATATTTAAAAAAAATATTAGAAAAAAAATTTAAAAAAAAAGTATATACTTGTAAGCAAGTCGAACATGCTGCGGGTGGCCATGCAATTAAAAAGGTACTAAATATTTAGCACATGCAAAGTTTTTTCTATTTAATTTTTTAATTTTGTAGGCAAAGCAAGTCCAACAATTCGTTAACTCCATATTTAATACAACTAATTAACAGAAGCGTAAATATTTTTGTTTTGTTTGTTGAAAAAATAGCTTTAAATTATTTACAAAATACGCAATGGTATTCGGTAAAAGAAAGAGAGAGAGAGAGAGAAAGAGAGACTCACTGCGTGCGTGTGCGCTAGTTTCGGGTCAAGTCCAATATACATATTTACTTAAAGAATTTGTTTTATTTTACAATGTTTTTTTTTGTTGTAATATTTTTAAAACTTTGCTCACTTTTTCAGTTAATGGCAATGAAAAATTATACATTTCGTAATATTTTTTAATTTAATTTTTTGTTTTTTTTTGTTTTGATGTTTTTTAATAATTTATAAGCCAATATATACATACATTTTTTTTTCAAGAAAAAAATTAAAACATAAACCCTTGTTTGCCTAACATGTCAACCTTTGCTTGTATTGTTTTATGTGTTGCGAATGGAGCTCGGCAAGTTTAAGGCGAGATGCATTATAAATATGTCGATATTTTATATATGTAAAATCATTCATATATATGTGCATATGTATTTATGTACCAAAATAGTGAGTAGAAGTGTGTGTGTCAGAAACGCCAGAAGCGTGCTTTTAGAATGCTGCGTAAAATTTTGCAAATCAAATATAATTTTTGAAAGACAATTTCGAATAAAAATTAAAACAGCTGTGAACAAAATTGTTTAAAAAAAATATTGAAAATTTAAGAGAAAATTATATCTAAAAATATTATAGAACTTTGAAAAAAAATTTTAATTAATAAAATCGAAATTTAAACATCAAATTTTATTTTAAATTATAAAATCTAAATTTAATGTTAAATTATGAAAATTAAAATATTTAAAATTTTTAATTAAATTTAAACTTAAATTTAAAATGTTATTATAACTAAAATTTATAATTTCAAATATGATTTAATAATTTAAGTATAAATTCTGTAATTTAAATAAAATAAAAATTTAAAATATAAAAAAGAAATTTAATATTTAAATACGAAAAGAAAAATTAATTTAAAAAAAGAATTAGTTATTATGTAAATTAAAATTTATAAATCTAAATTATTATAAAATTTAAATTTTATTTATTTTAATATAAAATTTAAATTTTATATTAATTTAAATTTATTATTTTAATATAAAATTTAAATTTTATATTAATTTAAATTTATAAATTTTAATTTACATAATAACTAATTCTTTTTTTAAATTAAATTATTTGAAAAACGTTATATCTGTTACATTGCAACAGTTTCGGTTGATAGTTCTTTCAAAAAAGCATTTGAGTTATTTCTTTTGAAAAATATGTATACATTTCGTTTAAAAAAATGCAGTTATGTAGGTATATACATATGTAAATATATATTTTTAATAAAAGTCAGCTAGTTGTTTATCAAACCATACCGCTAAGTATAAAAATTTTCAAAGTCTCATACAAAAACTTTACAAAAATTTCCAAATAATTAAAATAGTCAAAAATATGTAATTGAAAGTAGTTAAAAATTGCGATTTAATTAAGTCAAGAAAAGTTTGTAAGTTTGGCTAAAGTCGCAATGGTCATTATTGAGTTGGCGCAGCATAGTGGAGTTATTTTGTTTAATCTTTTTTTTTCGAAAATAATTTGCAGCCTTATGAATATGTATATTATGTATATAAACTACGAGAAAATACAAGCAAAAAGTATTTTAGTTGGCGTTTTTGCTGGCTTTGCTTCGTGTTATATTAAATGCTTTTTGGAGTTTTGGTAAAGTTAAAAAAATTATTCAAATCGTTTAAATATAGAAAATAAAACTATTTTAAAATATTTTTAAAAAATGTAAAAAATATATTTCGTAAAACTAAGACAAAATGCAATTAAGAAATAATTGTTGTTTGTGTGCAGAGTTTTCGTTTCCTATTGCTATTTATTTCTATTAGTTTCGAGTCATTGCGAACTATTTAGTAACTAGAACTTCACTCCTATATCACTCAATTTTTAATTTACAATTGTTTTATTCATACTCAGTGATAAAACAATTATAGAGAGAGAAAGAATGGAAGAAATATGACGCTATGACACTAGGTAGTCACTTCACTGTATATGCATTAATGAGGCTCTTTTTTTCAAGCGCTGGTGGCGAGTTCGAACTTTGTCGATACCTTTCGAGCTCTTCTCACCTAACCCTTAAGGTGTTAAGAGTATAGAAGTTTCACTCCTATTAACCATAAATATACGTAAGAATTAAATTTAATTAAGATTCTGTAGTATAATTTTTGTAAGCTTGGAATACCTTTACTCATATAGATCCATCAAAAATTGCGTCATACCCCGTTGCATCAACGTAATTAACTGACATTAAAGTATACTGAATGCATAACGGGTTTTTTTATAGACGTGTGGCAATACTTTTTATGCTGTTGGTCTTTTTGACAGCTGTTGACTTAAACTCAGTTTGGTTTGCCATTTTATAATAAAAAGACCGTTCGCAAATTGTGTAAAATTTAATATCAAAATAATAGTTCGGTTCGCGCGACGCATGTTGTGGCCTTAGAAGATCGTGTGATTTAAGGCTGTTGACTTTTTTGTGGGGTCATATTAAGTCGCTGGTCTACACAGCCACTAGCCTCGAAAAAAAATATTCGGCTCGTTACACTGACATACGGGCGCAATTGCGACAAAAAAGTGGTCGAAAATTGGACCTCTTGGCTGAATTCGAGCCAGCCGCGGCGGCACTTGTCTGAAATCATTTTTAAAACATAATGGCAATCCCTTTTTTTGAATTAAAGCTAATTTCTTGGCCATAACACTAAATTATACGTTTTATTTCCTTTTAAAAACCACATATCTAAAAAACACCATTTATTTAAATGCTTTATATATGCCCACGGATGCACAAACGCGACGTAGATAATTGTCAATTTTGTTGGTTTTCGCCGACATGCATGTCAGTTATGCGTCACACTCAATTTGAATAGCCACCGGCTACATTAGAACAAGTTTGGAATCACCTAAAAGATAATGCCTGGACTAAATATAACTTATCAATATTAAAAGTTTAGATAATAGACCATAAAGGCCTTGATACTTCATGTTTAGTAAAATTCTTCCCGAATATTTATTAAGTAAGTGTATTCAATTGTCAAAAGTGTAGAGCTTTTGGGCAGAAAGATTCTTATAGTTTTAATTTATCGTAGAAACTATTCGAAATATTTACGCAATAACAAGAAAGGCGATCCTTTTAGTAGCTATGAGGAATTAGTATCTTGTATTGTCTTTAACCACTAAAAAAATAGTCCAAAAAATGATGTGAAATATTTCTGGAATCGCGATCTCTAAGGACCTTATATATAAGCAACTAGCATTAAAACTTCACTGAACTGTCGCAAGAACCCACTCTACAAAGATTCCTTTACTAATCTAAAGTTGGACAGAATAAATTTTCTTATTTGATACTATGCTATTTTAAGGTTAGGTTTTTGGCGCTAGGCTATATTGAGTTATGCAAAAAGTGTTTTAATACCGATCTATAATATTTGAAACAAAAATTATCTCTATATGGATAGTTTTATAATGCTATTGGTTGTATGTAAGAATGTATGTTTGTATGTTAGTAGTATTTAAAGGGTGCTCATCATTACTCATTCAAATTATTATGATGTAATTAAGCAAGTAGTAAGTAATAGTTATAAGTAGTATTTGTTAATTAAAGTCACTTTCAGTTTTTAAATTTTGACTGCTTTGTACTTATTATTCTTTGTTGTTACTTCGTTATGGACTCACCGATGGTCGCAAGCGCACACAGTGCTTTCCGAAAGCGGAAAACGGTCCCCACTTCTCTACAGGTGAATTACTCACATGTGATGCTTCCGTATTCGATGTGTCCTGAGTACGATAAATGCCGATCGGTATTTCGCAAGTTGTCGAGCAAAGTTTCTGATACAAACGACCGTAGGTACGGATCCACATGTCGTCTTTTGTAATGCGCATCTGTGTTGAAGAAAATTAATTTTTTTTATAATTTATATTTTGATCAATTTTAATTGTGAAATACGGGTCAAGTGTCAAAAATTTAAGAATATTACAGACCTAAATTAGATTAGGAATTGAAGCAGATTCGCGCGATAGCGATCACCAGGGATCCCACTTAGATATTTCTAGAGCAGTACTTCGTAATACCAGAAGACCTCCTAAAGATATATCTTTCTATATCAACAAAGCTCTTTCAGCCTCAATATAGTTAACTAATTTAGATTCCCACTCGCCCGATGACTGAAATTATGACTTCCAAGAACATTCGACTTAAGTCTTTCAAAAGAGGAACAATGTGCTTGCAAATGTGGGCGCACAGACTTGACTTGTGAAGTAATACCAGTGATTCCGTGGGAGAGACATTGAGACGGAAGTAGGTTAGGTTAAGCGGATTAAAGTTCAGCACTCCGGTTTTCGATGCTTCCTCCTACTATATGTAAAAAAAATAGCGGCTTGACTTGTTACCATAAGAGGCATGCTTGGGCATGAACATTTTTTGCCCGGCCAATTAGTCTACAGTTATTTCATAACACATTATCTACTTACCGATGTCAGAAAGCCACTGCCCGGCGCCTGATCGATGCCCAGCAGCAAGCGCACAAATGTGATCACATAGTCCTTGACGAATGCCTGATAGAGTAGCGTGTCCAGCATCGAGGCGCTGAAAACGGCGCCGGCAGCGAATGGCAGACGAAACATGTAGGAAATATGAGAGCCGCGCTCCTTTTCGCGCTAGAAGATTTTCGAAGGAAAAAGTATTTATATATGAATAATATATTTTTTATCACTTATTATTTGATGTTGATAATAATATTTTGTCAACCCTCAAAATATTTACATTTCATATTCGTACCTTCTCCATTTTACTTAGGTGCAGCGCATATTTGTCGTGCGCACGGAACTGCATGAAACGCATGTTGGAACTCTGAGAGAGTTCAGTTATGCTCTTGATGCTGGGAAAGAATCTAACAAACGGAAGCAGAAGAGAATATTCTTTGTTTAGGCGTATATGTGTGTATTTTAGAGTTCTACTCACTTGAACATTGTTTGCACGGCGACGATGGTGTTGCAATCGGCCAGCGAATCCTCCTCCGCCGAGTTGGACAGTTCCTTGTTCACCACCACCACACTCTCGGCAAGGGTAATGCCGGCACGCAGCAGGTCATCCAAGCAGTCGATGGAACCGAGCATCCAATAAACCTATATGTGGAAAAAAGTGAGGAAATTAATTTTTAAGCATGAATGAAAGTCAATTTCGGCTGCACCGAAGGTGGTTTCTTTTAGCTACGATATATATAACCAAATCTGAAAAGGATCAGGCAAATGGTTTTCATCCTTTATCTTGTTCGAGCCCCGTTGTTTAATATAAGCAACCTTCAAGTCGAACTTGCGACATTTTCTGAAGATATCTTGTCAAATAAAAGAGCTTTCTACACAAGGACTTTATTTTGATCATTCAGTTTGTATGGCGACTAAACCTTATAGGGGTCCGATATTTTTTCGACACTTGAGCAGCTTTTTAGAGAGGAAAGTACGTGTACAAAACTTCAGACCGATATCTTAAACACTGAGCGACTTGTTTGCATATATGCAAGCAGACATACAGACAGACGGACTGACGGACATTGTTAATCGACACACCTCGTCACGTTTTCTACTGGGTGTTACAAACTTCGTGGCAAACTTAATATACTTTGTTCCAGATATAAAAGACTTATAAAAGAGAGTTGCTTAAATAGATCTAGAGCTGTTTTATCTTAAAAGCCATTCTTAAAACTTGAATTTGACGTAGTTCGCTGAGTGGGAAATCCCGAATGCACCCCTTAGATTAATGGGAGGCTCTCGACTAAAGTGAAGCCAATACTGCTATATGGTGTATTTATCTAGTGGAGGGCGCTCGGTAAAACAACTAAAACGTGTTCGATGAGCGGCTCACATTGGCGTAAGTGGTGCACTACGTACAAGACCAATGATGGCATTTAATGCCATTCGACATATTGCAGGAAATCCAGGAAATTGGAGACATTGAAAACCTCAGGGAGCGACATTTCGAAATCCTCTCTCATTTCGCCTGCATCCCTGATAACTTGGACCAGTGCGCTGCGGAACCTACTCCTAGCGGCATCTTTTCCGAGCACATACGTAGTTGAGATATGTAGGTGAAGCGGAGTTGCAGGAGAAGAGGCGCAATGAGATTTGGATAGTTCGAAGCTCAAGGGAAAGATAGGGAGCTCTCAATCAACTCTTGTTTCAGACCGCCAGATCACTGTAGAGTCTTTTAAGCTGAGATGGCAGCCATCAAGGTAACAGAAGTGCGGTTTCTTTTAGGGAGGTATGCATCCATTCCGATAGCAGAGGTACAACCCTGCATTACTTCACTGGCTGCATTATCAAGCTATTTCAATATTAAACTTGTCTGGGTGTTTGGCCACAGCTGAATCGTCGGAAATCGTAAAGCCTGTGAGCTTGCAAGTAAAGATATCCTTGTACAAATACCGTCAGGATAGGAACGAGCAGCGGTTCTCCTGTCTTCGTACATTCTGGCTGGCAAGATTGGTTGCGAAAGCAGAGTGGAACGTAAAAGGTCCATTGTGTGCTGTCCAAGTGGGATTATTCGTGACCACACGAGAAATCAGCCTATTTACCTAATCTAACCTAATAATCAATATACATTTCGAATATTTAAAAGGACCTCAAGATAGAAGGATATATATGCAAGGTAGGGTGTTACAATACAGGGCACACGCAAAATTAATGTTCCAATGTGTAAACTTTTTTTAATGCAGCTGAATAAATCATGAGCAGGAGTTATATGTTGAAGAATAAAGGCCCCCTCTTTGTGTGTTTGGCAATGAAAGTGAAAAAAACAATGATATTACCGCTATAAACTACAACAATGAATACATCAACAATCCGAAAATACTATCGTTTTGTCGAGCTCTAAAATTGCTATTAAACGGAAGTCAATTGGCTTTTCGTTAAAAAATAATTGCATGTTTACTTATGAGTTTTTAAATTCCCGAAGTCTTCTCACTGCCTTCGCTACCATTGAGTAGCAGGCTCACCCATAAATAACTTGAGCTCGCTACTTCACGCTCTTAGGTACTACAGCTTAATCATTAGACGATTTAAAAGTTATTAAGAGAGCGCAAGCGAAAAATGGAGTATACTATACTATAACCTAACACAATTTTAAACAAATTTATAATCAACCTTACAATACAAAAAAAAAGTGTTCAGGAAACCCGTGCATTACTTTAATTCTTATCTTCTTTTGAACTCATCAATAAAGTTTTCCACACGACTCCCAACTCAGCACTCAATATTTTTAATAATCTGAATTCATAGCGGCTGTGAAAACTGACACTCACCAGCGGAAAGTAGGAGAGCGCATCGAGAAAGGCCACATCCGGTCGACGCTCCAACAACAATATAATCGGATTTAATGACGTTTTCGAACGAAAGTGCGCACGTAACGGTATGATAAAGTTGTAAATGCCATTCGATGCATAATCCGCTGCCAGAATAATCGTCTTGTTTTGCCATTGATACTCCTTGGCATTGCGATAGCTGCAGTGCTCGCAGACCTACAAATACACATGCATATACATATGTATACATATATTCATTCATTTACCGCTATGTGTGCTTATTGATTTTCATATCTCACCTGTGCCAGCTGCAGACAGCACAATGGTTTTTTCTCCTTGAGCAAGTAACAAAGCGTCGGACTAACACCGATGAATGGCGAGACGGGCGGGAAACCCTTGACGATGCTGCAATAGATAGGAAAAAGGCGACACATATTGGATACTGCATGAGTTGTGCTTTAGTATTTTCTACTTTTTTTTCAAGTAATTAACGGCAAACTGCAACTTGTCTTAATTTATTTTATATTTTATTGATTTTCGAGTAACTGAAGCGTTAATAAAAAGTGCATATATAAAAGGAGCGGAAAGGAGTGTGCTGTGGATTGGTTTGGTTTCAAATTAAGTATAATTTTAAATTTTCTTAAGCAAATTCATACACAATTAGCCACATCGAACGTTAAAATAACACATATTATATTAAAAATACATTATAAAGCAAATAGTTGTTATTGATTAACGGTAACATTTCACAATCACTACACTAAAGCGTTGTACAACTGAATTGATTTGTGTATGTAGATTTATGCACATACTTATTTCTAGATTGCACTTAATTATGAGCTTTTTAATTATGCATTATTTTGGTGAATAAATGTGATAAAAAAAGGAAAAATCTCTCAGTCTCCTCTCACCACAAATTCTCGATTGAATGTGGCATTTTGTAGTCAATCTCAATTTCTTACTAATTCTATGAGGCTCAATCTCCTCATTGTAGTTGGTAGTTCCTTTCAGACTGCTTTCGCTATCGATTTAAAATATCTTTATGCTGTCCTTGCATAAAGCATATTCATAATGCTCTTAATTGCATGCAATTGAGTTTTTAATTGAGTCTTCGATTTTTCTATACACATGAACTTACATCTTGTTTCATTAAAAAATAACAGCTGACATTATTTTTACTTACTTTTTCGATACCATTTGTTGATTGTACTCAATTGTATTTTGTTTTATTTTTTTTAACAAATATAACTTACAAGCTAATAAAAAAGAAGTAATATAATTGAATTGTGAAATAAATTGTATTGTAGTTAAATTCAATATAAATTGCATATCTAATATATGAAAATTGATATGAAATTGAATTCAATTATTGCTCAATTGAGTAAATTTTGTTACTCAAAATTGAAAATATTATGTTGCTCAATTATTGGTAAGTTTGAATATTCTGATAAAGAATGGCTGAAGTTTTGGCTAGTCTGTAAAAGGCGATTATGATATTAGAATTGATAAAATGAAACGAAAGTGAGTCAGTGGAGATACTTTCTATGTCGATATATTATTTGACTCTTGGGCAAACTAAGTCAACTATGAAATAATGATGAAAAAGTAAAAATCATTTTACGCCAAAAACCAAAACATTTCATCGGCGGAAGAGTCCATAAATCTTAGCGGACGTATTTTTAATGTTCTGTAATCTGTTCTGCGGATTCGTTCAAAGCTAGTCTGAACATTAATGGAATCGTCTACAGAGCCACCTATAGAATTTTTTAGAGTCAGTTGAAGGTAATACAATTTGAATAGAAAATGTTAACCGGAAATGTACCATAGAAAGTGTGGCTTTACAACCAAATACGATTTAGTTCAACAATCTTCAGTCTGAAAGAAGACGGTAGGTTCATTTTTCGACTAATAAGCTCATCGGGTTTTTCTGTGATCAAAAAATTGGTAACTTTTGTCTATCAGAGCATTAGTTATTTGGAATCTCTTTCAGAAATCAGGTAAGCTTATCTCAACTATAGGAAGGTCCACTTCTATGCGTACAGAGTCTCTGTCTATGAGGAATAGGACGAAATTAGACAGATAAAGCAGCTGATAATGGCTTTTAGAAAGCATAAAGATTAACCAAAATGTTTAATCTAGCATGACGTTATGTTATAATTTTTGTTTTTTTGAGTGGAGTTATTCTTCATTACATTAATATGAAGAAAATCCTAGCCGAGAGTCAGCGTTTTTTTGTTTATGGTGAACATGATCTACTTAAGCGAACGTGCCAAAAATAACTTGCACTATTTAGTGCTGATTTTGGCTTAAAAGATAAAAGACGTCCTGTGCGGCAAAAAAGTTTGAAGATGACAAACTGGAAGCATTACTCGTTGAAGATTGTTTCCTAGCCCAAGCAAATTTCGCAGAATCTTTGGAAGTCATTCAAGCAGTCATTTTAAAAGGTTTAAAAGCAGCCGAGTACATTCAAAAGCAAGGAAATTGAGTACCATTTGAAATAAAGTCAAGAGAAGTTAAAAGACGATTTTGCATATGAGAAATGCTGCTTGAACGCTACAAAAAGGCGACGTTTTTGCATCAGATTGTAACTGGTGATGAAAATGGGATTCATTACGACTACCATAAATGCCAAAAATCATATGTGAAACTTGATCAACCAACCAATTCAGTGACAAAGCTATGTGTTTGGTGCGATCAAAATGGCGTGCTGTATTATGTGCTACTAAAATCGAGTGAAACCATTTATGGTAAACGCAACCGACAAAAAATCACTAAATTGAAGCGAGCAATTGCCGAAAAACGTCCGGCATTCGCGACTACCATAGGCACAAGGCAATAATTTTCCATCATGGCAACGAACGGTCGCATGTTACAAGACCGAATTAAAACAATTTGAAAAACAGCGGCTGGGAAGTTTTGCTTCACCTGTATTTTAGCCTAGACCTTGCCATTTCTAACTGCTATTTGTGTCAGTATTCACTGGAATACGGTTCTTATCAAAATAGGGTATCAAAAGTTAGCTTAATTCACGCTTGGCTGTGAATCGGACGCCGTTTTTATGGAATAATATCCGCAAATTGCCAGGAAGATGTAAAGTGTTATAGCTTTAGATAGGAAATAGTTTTAGTAATACTATTGTAAATGGGTTTCTTAAATAAACGTTAACATTTTGGAGAAAAAAAAATTGCGTCAATATATTCTTATATTATTTTTAACCAAATATGAGTACTTAATTTCTGAGTACAATATATGTATGTGTATATATAATTAAACCTAATAATTTAAGAACCATAACGGTATTGTAATAAAGATATACATATAACATATTATTAAAACTTATTAAGCACTCATGGAAATATTGTGTGAATTTCGCAAATTAACAATAATTTTATGAATATTTAATTGAGCTCTGAGGTAATGGTAATGACATTTAAAATTACTTCCACAGAAAACTTAATTACATTCAGCATAGTAAGTTACGTGCCAGCAAATTAATTTACATACAAACATATGCATATATGTATGCGTGTAGGATTGGTATGAGGCACACAGACATGAACATAAACAATTAGCATATTCGATAATTAACACCAAAATCGACTGGATCATAAAGTAATGCAAATTCAACGAACAGTTATGCTTATTAACGTTAAACCAAGTAACTCGTGTCCATGTAAACAGAGTACGAGTATATGCGTGTGTGAGTCTGTTAGAGTAACCGTGTGAGTGTTGAGTAGCCGCAAAGGGCATCAATTCCAATAATTAATAGCACATCCACTGTTATGTTAGGTATACGAGTACGATTATGTAGTTAGAAGTAAAACCCGAAACGGAAACGGCAAAAAACGCAAACTGCAGCAGGATACGCGGCAAACAAACGATGCTTACGAGCAGATGATTTGCTGATTGACTGATGTAGATGTATCATGCCGCATGCCACATTTACTTACCGGAAATAATCCATAGCCCAGATAGGACGTGCGGCCTTGCCACCACCGCCACCACAACCCGAAGTCGAGCTGCTCGAGGTGGCTGCAGTGCGTTGAGTGCCCGTTGTCGAGAAGGTTGTTGTAGTTGCCGTCGTGGCCGGTATCCAAGTGTTGGTGGAGCAAAGTGAACAATATGTGTCGCCAGCATCGGCGGCAGCATCGACGACTTGAGCGAGTGCACGATTGCGACGCACAAAATTGCAAGGCAACACGCGTCGACAATCGCTATCGCAGCTGAAACTTTTCGCTAACATGCGATAGCGTGATTCGCTCTGCAAGTGCGGCTGACTAGTGCAACAACACTGATTATTCGAATCCTCTGACGAGCTCATGATCAGCGAATAGGTGCGCGATTGCGGGAAATGACCGCTCAGCGCACTTAAGTGTATGGAGGTGGTTGTACGGAGGGTGAAGGGTTAGTTAGCGAATTCGTAATAGAGTGAAAGAAATATAGAAAGGTGTTTGAGAGTAGGCCTCAGCTTACAGCTTTTATATTAAAAAAAAAATGGTGTTTTGAAATTTTAAATTAATTTTTCTTAAAATTTAATTGATACGTATTTGGAAAGTGAATAAAAAATTGTAAAACTGGCACAGCATCTCTGTGACAGGATATTATTATTACTACATTGTAGTATATATATTTTAATTAATGTGTTTTTTTTAATCTAGTATAAATTAAAAATTTTTACTTTATTGTTTTTAATACATTTTTTATAATTTTTTTTTATTATGATGATTATTTGAAATTATTTTTTTTTTTTAATTTTATATATCCTTATTTGTTAACAAAGCACTAAAACTAAATCGACCACAATTGTTGAAAACAGGTCTTTCTAGCACTCTTTGGCAGCCTGTTCAAATGTTTTAAATCAGTTGATAATTATGCCCATTCCCCATATAACGGTTAAATTGAAAACTACTAAAAGCGCGATAACTCATAAAAAAATATGTCAAAAATATTAACTTTTACACCAAAAATGATACCGAGCTTTGTTGGAATCGGTGTACAAATTAGACAATGGGCAAGATGCCACGGCACCACTCCCAATTCGGAGAAATCATATATTCAGGAACTACTTGATTCGATTTCAACCAAATTTACCTCTTAAATTCTTTTGTTATATTGTAAAAGCGAACACCACGCCTACTTCCCATATATCGTAACTTTAAATTCCATCCGATCCTTTCATTTTATAGTATATAAATCGAGAGCCAATGAATATAACAGGCTAAAACTTTATACACTTTTGAAATACCATTCATACTTTTCAAGCCCCCAGATACCGAATATTTGTACCATTGTGCTTTGAGCTTATTTTTTACCAAAAATATAGGCAAAACGCTGAGAAATGTTATTGAAATTCAGTTAGAATCCATTCCTGATAATAGTGTGCCAAAAATGAGTAAGATCGCGTCAAAACTTCCCCTAGCCCGCGTATACCTCATACAAAGTTTTTCGAACTTCATATATATACTGCAAAAGTTTTTTAAATATGCATTTTATATTTTCTTATTTTTACTAACCATCTTCAACTTTTTCATCAGTCATCAGTTTTTTCCAACACACTTTACATCATACTCTTTTCAAAATATTTTACACAAACACCGACTTTAGTGGGGTTCACAATCTTAGCTAAGACACAAGTACACTTATATATTGCTGTATATTACAGTGGGTATTAGACAACAATTAGGGAGTTAAACATATACACACTATAACAACTGTAAATATCAAAAACACTTTTTTCGAAGACACTAAATCACTAGGTAAATATATTTATAAGTAAGTGAGTGTGTCGAGTGTGTCACAAATAAAAAAAATGCTAGAACCAACGTATTGCCAGGATTAAGTTGAAGGTATTTACGATATAGAGAAGTAGTTCAACTATTTTTTTAAATAAATATATATATATATATATATATAGGAGAGACAAATTGATTACATGGATTTCAGTGAGTTTATGGATTTGGGTGCAAACGGGAATTTACATACATATACCATGGACGAAAATATACATACTTATTGCACGTAGTGTATATATATATAAATTGTAAATAGACTTACGCTATTTTCTCAGACGGCGAACGCCAAGGTACATCATCGTCAATTTCATCATCGCTCTCATCACCTTCTTCGCCCTCATCATTGCCTGATATGCTGAACGATGATGAGGTGAACATATCCGGTACGGGTAGGATGGATGGGCGGCGACTGCCTGAAAAGTGACGGAAATGTTGAGAATTTTAAGGGTTAGTTTGTTTTTCAAAATTGTGTCATTTAAATGTCAATAAATGTATACAGAGGTATACGCATATTTAAACAAATATATAAATAAAAAATTTCTTTCTATTTCTATGTTGGTTTTAGTTTTCCAGTTTCCATAAAGTCTGTAACTTGCCTCAAAATAAAAATGACATAGTCGGAAGTAGGCATTACTTTCCGGAACAAATATTGTTTCATCATAAAATTTTGATGAAAAAAATAATAATAAAATGTGTAAAAAAATAAATCCTTATTTAAATTAAAGGGACTTTAAACATGTCTTATTTAAGAAGGAGTAGTCTCAAAAATTCGGAAGATAATATCTCTCAAAGTTTAAGATGCCTCTCTTTAAACACAATTTCAAATTATATTTTATTCTTCTACATAATTTCGTTGGTATAGCAATATTTTTATACCCTGAACAGGGCATATTAAGTTTGCCATGAAATTTGTAACACCTAAGAGAAAAAGTCAGAGACCCATGACCGTCTGTCCGTCTAAAAGGTATTGTAGCTTCGGTGCAATCGAAGCGGTCTTCAACTACACGTCTACACTTGTAGACGGAGAGAAACAATAACAATCGGAACAAAAATTTCGTTGCTTCGGAAAATTACGAATACCGGGAACAAGCTTGTATGCCTGAACTTTATATAAATTTAATATAGTTAGAAATTCCTGGGTGGTAATTATGGATAAAATATTCACTGCAGTGCCTCAGTGAGAGAGCTTAAGAACTCATTTTATTATTGTGCAGGCTCGTTGATAGTTTTCAAATTTTTGTAGTGTTAAAAAAGTAGTTAGAAACGCGGGTAACCTGAAAGTGGGTTGGAAACAGCAAAGGTATAAATACACCTTTATAAATATAGCTCAGAGCTAAGAAAAAATTTGAAGTGCAATGCGTTGTTGAATTGTGTATATTTTGTGGATTGATTCATGTTATTGACGTCCATGGTGAGTCGAAATATTGGTATTTTTTCAGGAATTCTACAATACTTAGTCTTGCCATAAGTTCTGTTACAAACTCAATTTCCAATAAAACTATGATTTTGCCGATTAATAATTATTTTTTTAGTTAGTTATAAAATTTATAAGAAAATAAATGTCTGCTTTAAAATAATCAAATCTTATTATTATTTTTGAAGGATTCAGTTTACGAAAAAATTGTAAGAGATCGTTTTGTAAAGTATTAAATTTTCTACAATATCTATGAAACCAGATTTTTTTCAAGTAGTTGGAAGCGAGATATGATTTTTTCAGATAATAAGAAAAAAATAGAAAGCCGTAAGGCGGAGGACCTTACCTCTAAAATTAAGAGTCTTAGTAAACTTTAACTTAAACGAAACTGTGCGTGCTGTTATTGATCAATGGCCGAAACGTTTGAGGGCCTGTGTAAAACCAAAAAATGACCATGTCGAATAAAATTCTGTTGCTCATTTAATACATGCATTATTTAAACAAAATTGACTTCATTAAAAAATGTGTTATAGTTTTATTTCAATAACGGCCCAAACTTATAACAGAACTTGTGGCAGGACTAAGTAGTTGTAGTGCTGATCTATCTTATATTAAGTGAGTAAAGTTAAATTTTCCTGGCAACATGACACGGCAAACATAAACGCCATCCAGCAGATAGTTGAAAGAATAAATGTTTCGCTATAAAATAATTTTAACACCACACGGTCATATAATCCGCGGCACTTCATCAATGCGCTTCATAAAACAAATGGTTGGAAAGAATTCATTTCACTTTTTCATCACAAACTCTTTTGAAATAGATCAAAATAAAAGTTAATGAATATAGTATATTGTACAATTTTATTGCCTTCTTTTTATATGTTTAGTATTTATTTAACTATCACAAAAGTGCTTCACAATATATTCACATAAACTACACTACACCCTCACACCGCACTCACCTCTACGCTGATTGAGCACATCGGGGCTGAGTAGATTCGGATTCCCCGCTTGCGGCACATCCAAGTGATTGCTAGTCATTAATGTGGCGGTTGCAACACTCAGGCCACCACCGCCACCGCTACTGCTGCCACCGCTGTAGCCCAAACCGTTGCCGCCGCTGCCACCGCCGCCCAACATTGGCGGTATCGTTGTGGTGACTGTGGTTGTTGTCGTGGCCGAGGGTATTTGCGTTGCATTCATCGATGTCACCGTTGTATCCTTGAGATTCTGCTTCGAATCTGAGATTATCACAGACGTTAGATTATCAGTTGCTATTTACGGAATGCACACAGAGAGAACAAAGAGAGAATTATTTGCTTAATTTTGATTTTTTTTTTTTTGAGTATTAAAATCGTATATAAGTTTAGCAGCAGCTTAGATTTCATATTTGTTGACGAGCACGCGGGCGGTAGCAGAGCAAAAGGTGGCGTGTTCAAACACAAGTGGATACACACATATATACAGTTATGTTTATTTACAGCGAAATGCACATTTAGAGTATAAAACTGTTATTTAATAGGTCAAAGTTGTATAAAACGTTTGTATAAAATGAGTATATACATGTGGAGCCCCTAAAAGTATGCATCTTGATATATATACACAATTTTAAGTAAAGCATAGAGGTTGTAATAATAAATTTATATTGCATAAGAATATACATATTAGAGTGCAGGGCGGGAAGGTTTAAGGCAGTTGTGTAAATTTGGCATATATTATAATAATTTATAATAATTTTGATAATATAAGGGTTGTTAGAAAATGTCAGGCGAAATTAAAGACACGAAAACTTGCATTTGAAATTAAAAATTAAACTACAGTATACATTAAAATAAATAAAATTTACGTTTAAACTTATATATACATAACATGATACGCCACATACTCCTTGCAGCAAGTAAATTTTTATTCACTTGCTTTATACAAGAATTTCGCTGTCAGCGCAGTGTTCCTCGAAGCGCAACGAATATGTTATTTGTTTTGTTGTTGCATTTGCTAAATTGCATTTTAAATTTAAGTTAATAATTTTTTGCTTATCGTTGCGGCTATCGAAGGTGTGTTTTGGTAGATAAGCTTTTAATTAGTTACTCATACGCCCCAGCGGACCAATACAACTCATATGACAACAATTATTAATTAAAAAACATCAGTACAACAAATAAACGATAGAAAAGTAAAGTAATAACTATTGATTAAATTTACAGCTAATTTATTCGAAAATAATGTCTGTGAGGTTTTCTGCTTAGTTAATTGTAAGACAATTTAACATTATGGAGAATAGTGTGTTTGCCGCTGTGTATGCTAGCGGCTAGTTCGTCGTGCTTTTACCCATTAAAAAATTATTTTTGGAACCATGATTTCACTAACTCTCCTATTGCAGAACCAATTTAACATAACGAGTTTTTGAGCTTTTTGACTTCATTATAATTTCAAATGCAACCGTGCTTCTTTCAACTACCTTCTGTATGGACAAACTACTAGGAAATCTTTTGCAAGATAAATTACTTGAGATCTCACTAATTTCAGAAACGACCAGATATATTCTTGCTTTTTGATTCAATCAAGAGCTGCCTGAAAAGGTTAAAATATGTCAATTAGTGATAACAATTTGTTAAATTGCGTCAATTAGTTTGGTTTTCATTCACACATAAATATAGCTAATGGAAGTGGCAACCGGAATCTTTTGCTCAGAGCTGGTTTTCAAGCGACTCTTCAAGCTTCCCGAATTCTGCAGTATCTTCCAGGCGGAAGTTTTTGTGGTCAAAAAAGCCAGTACAGCAAATACGTAAGTCACTAAAAAAGATGTACTGCCTTAAGGATATGCAGGATCGCCAAGATACACAAAAGAAAAACACAAACAATTGGATATTGACTCTTTGAAACAAAATCGCGACTACTAGACTAGTCTTCTTTTTCAAGAGGGTCCCGACAGGCGACGGTTATTTCAGGAACTCATGCTATCGAAAAAGAAATTAAGAACGGAATTTTAATCTACATAAGTGCTAGTAAAGTACGTATGTTTTCAGCTTTAGATAACATTTTCGAAAAATTTGCAGACTTTAACAAAACAAACATTGCACAGTAACAAAAAATCATACGTTAACGTATTTACAAAATTATATTTTGGAGTTGGAATTTTAATCAGATATGTGCTACAGCTTCCGATTATTAGTAGCCGAAATACAATAGAAATTTTCAGTTGCGAGAAAAATGCTTTTAAATTTCTACGCAATGAAGCTGTGCAAGTGTTTCGACACCACAGCGAATTAGACAAGAAAATTTTTTTTCAATGTATTGTTTAATATTTTTAATAACTATATTATGTTTTTGGGACCTTACAGTGTACTTTAAATGAAAAAAACTGTTCCATTTTTTTAAATTCCTAGACTGGCATTACCTCTAAATTAAATAAAAAACAGAAGGATAAAAATTTAAAAATACGATAAGTCGCCAAATTTCAAAATACTTTAAGAGTAGAAAAAAAAAATAGAAAAAATATAGTATTACGATTACGCAGGATTTAAGATATAATTTCTTTCAACTTTCAAAGAAATTTCTGATCGTAGTAGTAGATGCATTCAATTGTCAAAGTCCATACTAGGCGAAGCTTAAATAAGTTCTTCGTAAAGATGCAGGCATCACTAGCATATAAGTAGAGCTACTTTTTTCAATAGCCTTTCTTTGACATATCACACGTGAGTTTTTGTTTAGTATTGTTTGGCATTCCATCATGGCAAGACCTACGACTGAACAATGTGTGCAAATTGTTCCACACTATGAGAAATTTCACGTTGTGTAAATAATGTGTTTCGCGCGCTTGGCTCAACTTATGGTCAACATAGTCGGCCTACTGAGCGTACTGTACGCAACACTATCACCCATCTTGAGACCTACGATAATATTTGAACGAATAGACCACGTCCAGTACGCAATGAAGAAAATATAGCGGCCGTGGCTGAAAGTGTACACGAAGAAAAATAAGTATATATAAAGTATAAAATAAGATCCGACGTTTTCGAGCCAAATTTTGTTCAGCGATGAGGCACATTTCTAGCTCAATGGGTATGTAAACAGCAAAATTGCTGCATTCGGGATGAAGAGCAAGGTGAAGAGATTCATGAGCTGCAATTTCATCCAGAAAAATCCACGGTTTGGTGTGGTTTGTGCAATGGTGGAATATTCGTCCCATATTTCGCCAAAAGTGATGGCGATGAGATCGTCACCGTCAATGGCGACCGTTACCGCACCATGATAACCGAATATTTGCTGCATGAAATTGAAGCTCGTCATCTCCGCGACATTTGGTTTCAACAAGACGGCGCCATTTCCTAAACATCGCATCAAACAATTGATTTATTGAGAGAACACTTCGGTGAGCAGATAATTTCACGTTTTGGGCCGGTCGATTGGCCACCAAAATCGTGTGATATGACACCGTTAGATAATGCCGCTTCGATTCGCCAGTTACCAGTCGAAATGCTCGAACGAGTCAACGAGAATTGAACTCAACGGATGGACCATCTGAGACGTAGCCACGGCCAACATTTGAATCTTCAAAAAATAATCGCCCAAGAATGTTCCTTCGAATAATAATAAACATTCCCCATTAAATTTGAATTTTCTGTGTTTTTTCTTTAAAAAGGTAGTGAACTTCGCAATGAATCACCCGTTATAACTCCTTTCACTTAACCGCTGAGAGATTCGAAATTTCTGTTATCGCATTTTCCAGCGCTCACAATTAAAATTTACGAAAATTCCCAATAATTCATATTCGAACTCGCAACACATGACATCATTTTATGGCCCCATAATAATGTGATGTTAATCTTTCTATAAATGACTGGTTATCAAATAAAAATATTAAAATATCAGATAAAGTATTTAGCATATTTAAATTTAGCTTTAAAAAAAAAAGGTTTCCAAAACCAATTTAAAAAGTAATAATCAACATTTTAATTATCGGCTAACACGAAGCTGCCGTCAAGTAACGGACACAGGTCAGTGCGCATCGAAAGGACGATCAAAATAACTGGCTTGATTGACGCGATGTGAATGCATGTATGGGTATATTTCTGTAGTTCGGTATGTATGCATTGACATTTCAACACGTGCAACGCGCAATTGCATGCAACCTCATGCAACGGAAGTGCAAGCAAACGCGTGGAAAGGCGTTGACGCTGAAACAGTGATTAACGGATCAAACGACAGCACGCACGCGAACCGGGGTATACACATGAAAGCTTCAATGTATGCAATTAGCAAGTAGAGGTATTAGTACGGGATCGAGAGCGTACTAGTGTGAAACTGGTGCTCGATGCGATGAATGTTTTGGAAATGTTTGGAGGTGCAAAGCTAGATCGACTTAGTTCATTATACCCTGAAAAAAGAATATTAAGTTTGCCATAAAGTTTGTAGCACCCAAAAGGTCGGAGACCATATCAGTATGACGAGCTGAGTCGTATCCGTCCGTATGTAGGTATATACGCGAACTTGTGCCTCAGTTTTTGAGATATCGATTTGAAATTTTGCATATGTATTTTTATCCTTAGAAATTCTAACTTCAGTGCGATTTTGGTTATTATTTCAGTGTTCTTCCTTTCGGCATATATCAAATTTCGATGAAAATTATTGTGAAACTGTTTTAACTAAAAAAGTTATCCGGAAATACATATGGTTTTTTGTTTTTCCTTCGGCAAAATTTTATTATACATTTAAAAAAATTAGTAGTCACACTTTTATGTTATCTATTTCAAACATTGTTGTAGCTTCATTTTTGTGTCCTTCGTCGACTGTCGTATTTCAAACTAGTTCGGAAACTAGTTCGGACTCAAAAAAGGATAAATTTAAACATTGTAAATGAAATTATTATGAAATTAGCCGCATTACAAATAAACTAGTTTGAGAGTACATCCAAAAGCATAACTATATACAAATCAATTTAGTGTGCGCAAAAAAGCGCGAGCATGCAATACAAATTACGATTCACACATACACAAACACACACACGCATACGCAATTATGTATTTGCACGCATGCGGATGCAACAACGTGCGTATGTATGGAAGTGTTGTGGTCGCTGATTGTTGATTGTTAAACTTTGATGTTGTGGTTGTTGTTGTTGGTGAGCTGGTGAGTTGGAAAATAACATATGTGGATAAGAGGCGGCAACGAAACTGGTATTTGGTGGTCGGTAATGGCAAACAGGACTATTTTGTATTAGCGGTTGATTTGGCGGTCTATTGGACATGGTCAGAGGATAGCGGTCACTTTTGGA